ATTGTTACTGACCTGAAAGTAAATCTGCTGGCAATTTACTTTACTCTCTGAGTAAAAGAGCAATGACCATAAAAGAGATCTCAGGGGTCACCAAACTCATGTGGGAGGTCAGTGGAGGAGACAAGGAGGTGGTCATTTGATTATGGATGGCCATCCTTCAAGAGGGAAGAGGAAAATTCTGCAATGAAATTTCCAGTTCTTGCAGTGTTACTTAAAATCTTAATATGAGAAGTTGCTGATTAAGAGAATCAGTTTGAAAAGCAAAGAGAAAATTTATGTATTTATATTGTTGAATCAGTTTATAGTTATTCTCAATAGAGAATCAAATTAGTCTTTTGTATTTTTAGCAAGGTGCAGGTTTTCTCTCGTCCCCCTACCCCCTCCTTCTCTCTTGCAAATCTTGCCACTTGTGATTACTGAAGATCCAGTATACTGCAAGGATTTATTCGTGCTCTCTGACTCATTTGCCAGGTTCCATCTACAAAGAATTCCCTACATTTCAAGAAGAGATGCTGTGTTCAGTTTTCTCACCCTTCTGCAGCGTGCCAGTGTTCAGTAGCTGCTCTGTTACCTCCTAGAGATGGGGGCATCTGTGGCATGAAACACTGCAGATGGTGCCTAATGCCCTGAAGAAACATCCACCTGTGGAAAATTCTCTGTGTTAAGCACTGTGTTGGCACGGAGTTCTATACAGACAATAAGATTCTCAGAGAGCTTTGGGAAGAAAATTCAATTCAATAAATACAGCGTTTTTCCTTTAGATATTTAGTAAATGCTAGTCTGAAAAATTGCACTCATTTTAGGCATGCAACTTACAAGTGTTTTGCAGTTTGAAGAGTATGTAGCCTTGATGCAGAAAAGATAAAGTTGCCTTTTTATTGGACCATTATTGCGAGCATAAGTTTACTTCTGCCACTTCTCCTTTAAATACCAGCACACTTGGAAATTTTGGAAAAGTTAGTGTGTGGCATAAGCACTTTTTTTTTTGTAACAGATTTGTATAGTGTTGAATCCCAGATGGAATTGAAGTAGCAAACTGATGAAAGCCTTTAACCAGAATGCAAGGGTATTTTAATGAAAATTAGTCTGATTCTCCCTTTGAAGCTGTGCATGTGCTGAAAAGGAATGCTACAGATATTCCTCTAGGTAATGATGAGGACTGACCTACCAGTACTTGTGTCAGATTGCTAACTCTTGAAAGCATGTGGTTATTCTTAATCGATATTGTAATCAATTGCTGTCTGTTCTATTGTGATTTCTTAACACTGTTAACCTAAATATTCCTATTCATATTTACATCCATGACACACATAGTTAGGTAACTGCTGCCAAGCCTAGATCAGTCTAAGCCTTGCAACAATATTTGAGTTGCTGCGAACTGAAGACATGGTCTGTTTCAGGATTTACACAATTATGTATTTTTAAAGGGTATAAGGAAAGAAGTTGAAATCATCTTTTGTATTATGACAATTATGGTTATTCTGCCACTTTGTACTAATGACTTCAGCTCCAGATCTGATTACCAGGCTCCTTTACTCCTGTTCCCTTTGTCCTGTCCTTGCTTCCAGAACGTTGCTCAGCACTGTTTCACCAGGACCCTGTTTTCATTTTCTGCCATGCTCCTTCTCCCGAAGTCTTCCCCTTTATTCTTTCTCTGTTCTCGTTGTCTTCTATGTCAGATCAGGAGCTTTTACTAATGTACCAAGTAACGTGCTTTTCCTGAAAGAGCATACTTTCCAAAACCAATTTAATGATTCCTATTTCAAGATGAGTCCTTATGTGCCGTTTTGTCTCAGTCCAAACTTACATAAGTGTGCCAGGACAGGAAATGCAGCACTTTGTTTATATAAGACAAATGCATAGATTGTCCTTGATTTGTTTGAAATGCAAATGATTGTACACTTTGTCAAGAGAACCTGAGAAATTCTTTGTTATTTTATTTCCCTTCTAGATGATGTATATTCGGCAACATCAGGGATAGCAAAGGAAGAAGCAGTTCATGAAGAGCCTGACTGCCTTGTGAAATATTTCAGTGTTGTGTGGTGTAAGGCATCAAAGAAAAAGCACAAGAAGTGGGAAGGTGATGCTGTTCTTATTACAAAAGGAAAGTCAGTGATATTGAAAGATATGGAAGGCAGAGACATTGGAAGAGGTACTGTAGATTTACATACTTGTGTAAGTGAACAACTGGCTTAAAATTGCTGTGCTTTGAATAATGGAGATACAGCTCTTCAGATAATTTAGAGTTCTCCATACCAGTGTCAACCACAGGGTGAGAAAACAGTAGGGTCTGGGGGCAAAGAGGAGACAGCAAGAAAGGTTTATATTTCTTACATATAAGGCAGATGCACAGGGGAGGCTGGGGCAGGCTGAGTAACATTATTCACCGAAACACCAAATGCTAGTCCAAGGAGAGGATCTGGAAGTGAACGGCTGTACTGCTTCAGCAGAGGTACCACATGAGAGATGAGGAGTTGATTTTGATTGCTCACATAATGCTTTGGAGAAGGTGTTAGAATTGGGGGAAAATAGACAGGTACATTTCTTGTAGCTACTCCAGGCAGTAGTATGGCAGCCGGGAATGTCAGAGGTTGGATCTGTACTTTTCAGCCAGTCAGCCAGCTAAAAATACCATCTTTGTTGGAAAGACAAGCAAACAGCAACATTTTCCAGCCCAGCCAAAGTCAACTGTGTAGTAATTTTTAGTCTTGTAGTTCTAGCAGCAGCTGGTGCTATAAGACACAGTTTGGGTTGATACCAGAGTTAAAAATAAGACTTGCAAACTATAGGCTGCACTCAACTTGAAGCAGTAATTTTTTACTGAAAGCAAAGCAAGAATTAACTTCGCTAACTGAGCCAAATGTATCTTGTCAGGGAGTAGGATTGGACAGTGTTGCTAGAAAATGTGAACTGATAAATTTTAGGGCTGAGATGGCTTGTCTGCTCTATTGTTACAATCATGACATTGTGCGCCTTGTCAGGACCAGACTATTTTGATTTGCAAATCAGTCTGTGACTTAGAAGTTAATTTGAATTTATTTATAGTAAACCAATATATGTACTGACTTGCTCACTTTTGAAAAAGGCAAGGGGAAGGAGAGTAATGCCTGGAATGCATCAGCCACCACCCTGTTGTTCTTGTGTTTTGTTTTTTTTTTTTTTCCCCAAGTCTTGTTTTTGTGAATTAGCAGAAAACACAACAGAAAAATTAATATTCTGATTTCCTCTGGTAGAAGTCTTTTTGCTGTGTTTGATGGTGTCAGGGAGCCCATGCTGCCATTGTCATTGATGCTGATTTGCCTGGTCAGAGTTACTTTCAATGCTCATTGATTCTAAGAAAATCATAAGCTGACCAATTTAAATAGTGTTAGTTTTAAAATCTCTGCAATTATTCTACAAGCCCATTGAGTGAGACGGAAAGTTCCTGTCGGTGCTTACCTCCAAAATTGTATTTAATACTGGGAAGTTTACAGTGAATGTGAACGAGCATGCGGGATTAATTGCTTTAAATGGTAAGGAAAGGGCAAAGGAAGATTTATTTTTTTTTCCTTAGGCATACCAGGGCTGGATCTGAGAAGGGACACAGGAACCTAAAACCAGCAAGGCTGTAGCTTGTTTTCAATGCAGAACAACATCTTGCTTTTCCCCCCTGCATATGTTGTCCTAATTCCTTAATAGTGTATTACAAAGAATTTAGGAAGTGCTTTCTTGTAATCTGCTGTATGTTATAGAAATGGTTATTTCTGGCAGCTGCATAAATATTTGAGCTCTGTAGGCTTGCTTTTTGCATTCCCTAAGTTCCCATCTACCCTTAAAGCTCATCCTGTCTTAGAATTAGACTCTTCAGACAAAAGATCCTGCACAGGGTTACGCCTGTATTCAGTATGCTTAGCCTGAAGCTATGTAGAAGTAATAGCAGAAAGCAAAAATGTAGAGCAAATGAGAGGTCACAAATACTCTCCAGGTGCCTCTTTTAGGAAGGCACATGCATTCTCTTTTGTTCAGGCATCTTTAGCTCTTTCCTATAAGCAAGTTCTTGGTTCTTCTTTCAAGGACCAGACAAGGTTCGCTGTGTGCTTTTTGAATACATTTAGAGAAGGGAAATAAACGTGTCTTCCTTTCTCTGTTGGCCAGATTATTTTTCAGCACTTGCTTCAGACTGTGAAACACCTCAGTACATTTTTTCTCTTAGAGGAATTCAAATCCAGATCTTCACCTTCCAACCTTCTACATTCCTAGAAGTGGAAGATGAGCTTTTGCAAACAGCTCCCAGCATTCTTTATATGTGTTTTTGTTGGATAAAATACATATAAAATCTTGGGAGGCTTTGCCTCCTTCAGAGGTGGGTGCTTTAACTGCTGGTCTACACGGTCATGCTTTTATTTTCATTTTAAATTTCTTTTATTTTATTTTTTGGCCCAACAAAGGATACTCCTGTTAAGGAGGGAAAGGCTTCATGGGTTTCTGTGTGCTGTGTGTGACAATTTAAATGCTTAAGAAGCAAATACCTGTTCATAGTTTTGGTTTTGCTTCTCTCATGTGAGTACTGGTGTTAAGGAAGTAATATTTGCTGTGTTTGTCCTAACTGATAAATTTTTATATCCTTCTAGGTACTGGATATAAATCTAAAGAGCTAGACAGTCTTGATGAAGGTCAAACACTGATGGTTGGAGGAAAAGAAATTGAAGTGATGGGTGTAATTTCAGCAGATGACTTCAGCAGTGGCAGGTGTTTTCAGGCTGGAATAGGGACTTGTGACACAGTCCCAGCTGCTTTATCTCAAACTCATATGAAACCATTCTGTAAGCCATTCAAAACTGTCTGTCAACCCAGTAATAAAGAGAATGTGCTCAAAGATTCTCAAAGCTACAAACCTCGCCACGATCCAAATGCTTCAAGTAAGATTAAGACTTTAAAGTTTCTTTAAGCATCTTTGGGCTCTCCAAAAAATGTTGAATGTGTAACTAAAGTTTTCATGTTCCACAATGTATTGCTTTGGTATTTCTGACATACAGTATTAGAGTTTCTATTGATACCATGTTAGGATTTTAGCATGTGTTTCTAGCAAGTGAAATACTCTGCATTGCATGAAGTTTCTTATAGGTGTTACAGATGGCTATAGAAACAAGTTAGAGTAGTTTCTGAGAGTTTTGCTGATAAAAGTGAGGTTTATTGATCAGAGGAACAGCCTGACACATCCTAGAAGTTCTAGATGAGGTCCAGCTTCCCACTGGAGTCACTGAAGCACTGACATAATGTGGCAGCACAGTAATTACAGTGGAGGATCAGTAACAGAGAGGTTAAGCTTGATTCAAACAATTGCTTCTGACAGCACCTGATCCTTCACAGCCAGTGAGTGTAACTACACTGCCCAAACTCACTTTATTTTGGGATAAAAGTTTTGTGCTGTAATGTTAGAAGTACCATGTGCTGAAGAGCTGTGAGAATTCAGAAATTGTGTGGAAACAGGCTGGTTAAGCACTTGTTAAGAGGGATCCTGTAAACATTGGACAGCTGCAGGAAGTGGCATTGGTTGTCTAGGCAAGCAGTACTATTTTGTCTGTCAGTAACCAATGTTTTAGGAGCTATAGTCTTTTGATGGCTTTATCTTCGAAGTGGAACATAAAAATGTATTTAAAGAAATATTATTAAGCAGAGCAACGCATATATTAAAGGAACGGAAGTTTGTTCTACATTCTTATATGTATGCCAGTTCTTACCTTATATCCTGATACTGTGGGACTTTTCTGGCTGCTGTGTAAATAAACAATGAAATCCCAATCAAGTGATAATTAATGACATCATTGGCCCTTTTGTAAAAGCAGCTTTATCAACATCAGCTTATGATCTGAATTCAGCTTGATTATATTTCATCTAAGAACATTTCTTCATGTGGTTGTGCAATGATACTGCTGTAGCTTTCTAACCTAAAATCTAGCAAAGACCTGATATATTCAACATTCAGATTAACTACTTTGTTGTTTTTGCACTAGTCTGTCAAAAAGCTGTGGTGTATTCTAGTTCTTTGTCTTCTCTGACTTTTCGTCTGGTAAATTTGAGTATCTCCTATGACATGTCCCTAAACTGCCTGATACGGAGAACATCAGCACAGTAGTAGGTTGGACTCTCAGTCATTTATGTTCTCCTTACACAGGACAGTCACTTTATTTAACACTTTGTTGCATAAGCTCTTCCAGAAGTAATGGAGATAGTTTCCAAGGCTACGACCTTGGGACTGGACCATACAGAGGTTTTCATGTAAGGCCTATGCCAACTCAAATGCAGCTTCTTCAAACTGGAAAGTCATTTATCCTTGTGCTCAGCAGAACAGAGCACACTGACAAAAATGTAAACCAGTGCCTTCCACGTATGATTTCTAAGCTTTTAGTCCATTGCTTATCTAAGTCTTGTTTCTTCCCCACCTCTGAGGCTGCAAACTTTTGTCAGAAAACTTGTTTTTGTCACTGTTATATCCTATATGTTCAGGCATGCAATTTAGTGTAATCTATCAGAATTCAGCCAGAATTGCCAGTAGAAAACAAAATCTCCCTGAGTGATACAAGCCATCAACCAACCTATTCCCATTAATACATTATCAATATAGATATACTCTAGTGTCATAAAAATACCAGCAACTATAAATTGCTTTCTCATTCTGTCCTCTGACCATGCAGCTTTTCAGTGAGGGTAAGTAGCACCAATATAAACAACCCAGTATGGACATTGTCTAGCAAAATTATGATGTTAGGGTTTGCAAACAAATTATGGCAAACAAAACTCTTTAGATGTAGCCAACGGATATATCCCAGTACTTCATGCTCTCTTTGCCTCTGTATATCTTCAAACCTTTCAGCTTCTTTTATTCTTGCACTGTGGCAGCCTTTGTCAGCTCACTCTCAGTCCTTCCCTTTTTTCTAAAACAAATCATTGTCTTTTTATCTGTTTCTCAAGCAGAGAAGTCTTTCTGGGCAGCCACAAGAATACCCCTTGAAGTGTACTGTCTAGACTTTGTGTAGGTCGCTGTTTGTGTTCTTTTTAAACTTTCCTTTAAGAAGCCTTTTAGAACTTTTTCTAATTTAACTCTATGCATTCAAATTCATCATGCAACATTTATTAGGTAGGCAGTTTCACCTCATCAGAAAAAAACCCTCAGATTTCTGAGTTTGTCACCTTTACACCTGAGAAAAGTGCAAACTATTTGGGAAATCTCCATAAGAGGATTTCCTTTAGAATTCTATCTAGGTATGCTCTGCTGGTAAATGTGTTTTCTGTCTGAGAATGGTCAGTATACTAAACAGTATTTTTAGCAGTCATTAGTTCATTTATTCAGTAGCTGAGTTAGAGCAATACTGTCGTTTGACTAAGAATAATGTTTTTGTGCAATACTTGTGTATGTTTTGAACTTCAAGATTCTCTAGTTATGCCAAGACCAAATGCAAGCCATCAGTGGATGTTCAATAAGGCTGGTTTACCTGTGGTGGATGTAGTTGTGGATCCTTACATTGCAAATAATCTCCGACCACATCAGAGAGAAGGAATTATATTTCTGTATGAATGTGTGATGGGAATGAGGTAAGAAAATAATTATCCTTTTGGCTCTCAATACCTGCAATATTTTCATGCCTGTGTCCAAAATTAGGCAATTTGAATAGAATGATTTGAGCGGCTCTTCAATTAATTAGCATTGTTAATTTTCCCCAAGTAAAGGTTGCACAGTTTTTTTCTGATCTGTGTGTAGCATTATGCTTGCTGTGACTTTGCTACATGGCCTGTCAGTTCTAATGCAGTTACCAAGTATTGTAAACACAGATACAATCTAACTTATGCTAAAGCACACTGCTTTCTGGGATTTATAATTAATATTATTAATAATTATTCATATAATTTATAATACGGGCATTTAGAATAAAGGAGCTGTTATACCAACCTGTTGGAAAAATACAGTACTATATTCAAAAGTGTTTTTTCAAGTCATAGGTTCCCTAAGGGATATACCAGTTTTAAAAATATTAGATAATATGTTTAATTCTATAACAAGACTTAAACTATTTGGTTTTGGAGGACCAATGTATTTATCTAGAATATGAGGAGTTTCACTCTAAGGTCTTCTTGTATAACTGAATGGAAATGTATTGTAGAGCATAATAAGCATAAATAGGTTCTTTACACTTCAGAAAACAGCCACAAGGAGCAATTCTCTAAATCAGTTGTGAATAATTATAGATAGTCTTTTAAAATGTTGCCATCACCTAATTATATCTTACAGAGTGAGTGGCAGATTTGGAGCCATCCTTGCTGATGAGATGGGCTTAGGAAAGACATTGCAATGCATTGCACTGGTCTGGACTCTGCTGCGTCAGGGGGTCTATGGCTGCAAACCCCTGCTAAAGCGAGCTCTCATTGTCACCCCTGGGAGTCTGGTAAAAAACTGGAAAAAAGAGTTTCAGAAATGGTTGGGAAGTGAAAGGATCAAAGTCTTTACAGTTGATCAGGTAAGATTTATTTCCAAAAGGAGATTAGGTCATATTTGGCTCAGAATATAAGACTTGTGATTTTCTTTATCCTATTTTTTAATTTTTTTTTTTAAACCAGAGACCCAAACTAGTAATTCTATTAATATTTTGTTCATAATGCTTCATTTCTCCTTCAGGTAATTGTCCATATGGGCATATAGCTGCCAGTAACACTCGCCTGCCTGTGTAGCATTTGTCTTTCTTTGAAGATGTAAAAGTTGGTGTGCTTCTCCATGTGGCCCTCTGATTTAAGGAAGAGCTTTCTCTTGTTTATCAAAGGGCACACCTTCCCTGCTTTATTTGCCAGAGTGTCTATCTTGACTAACTTGTGCTCTGTTTCTGTAGTAGTTCCTTTTGTTCTGAACTGGAAGGTTTTTCCTCTTTGTTTTGGCTGTCTGGTTTAGGTTGCTTCAGAACGTTATTCCCTTTACTGTAACTGTCAACAATTAGGTTTCTCTAGGGATCGTTTAAAGTCTCAGGAGTTACCAAGCCTAGAGTCTGTGTTAGGTAATGTAAATCTCTCTTATCTCTAGAAGAATGCAGGCAAGTACAAATGGTAAGAAATAAGCAGGCTGATGCTGATCCTTGTCCCTCCTATGGTGGAGCTATTCCTGTGGGGAGTGACACTCTCAAGTCCCTGTAGGGCCCAAATGATTCCCATGTGCTGAGGAAGTATCACACCTTTTAATCTCCTCAGTATACCTTTAAGGCCTTCATTGTTTTTTGAAACACAAAACTCTCTCCATCCTTTACCGTGGAGACTGAAAGTTCAAGCACAGACTCTATGTTTCAGGGGCCTTTATTAGCCACATCTGGCAGGAAAACACCTGGAAAAGTAAAAGACAAGAGAGTTCAAGGAGCGAGGCTGTAGCAGCACTAACCAAGGGCTTTCTTTGGAGGAGAACCACATCTTGCTCTGCTTATCCAGGAAGGCTTTCTTGCCATGTGAATTTTCCTGCTAAGCATGGCCCAATGTCTCAGTCAGAGGGTTGGGTCCTCTCGGGACCAGCATTCGTGAAGCTGCAAAGAGGAGAGTCGGCCGTGCCTCCCTTGCAGCTTCTGAAGCTTTCAGATCCAAGCTCTGTTGTGTGTAGCTTGCTGTGCGGTGTTTCTCTCGGCTCCGTTCCGTGTGGAGCGGGCGTTCGACGCCTCGTCGGGAGGGAAGCTGTTCAGCACACTGTGGTTCCCAGATGGACGTTCGGCAGTGTGCTGTACCCTACTTTCCCCATGCTCCTCTATATTTGGATTGTTCCAGTGGGGACTTAAAGTGTCTGCACTGATGCTTGCAACAAAGATACAGATATCTGTTTTCCAAAGTTTTTTGTGAATCTAGTTGTTCCGTACAAGTAGCTTGAAGAAACAAATAGTACTTCATTCTAAAGATGACCCCATTCTTGCATCAACCAGATCTGCTTTTAGTTTCTTGCATTATGCTTATTGTCTGTGTGGAAGAGTGACTATTTTATATGAAATGGAAGTTTTCAAAGTGTTTTTAAACTGTTTTGTAGAGTGTACAAAATCTTGTAAGAGTAATTATATCTTTGAATTCCACTTGTTATTGTCAGACCCTTGGAATTACTAAACCTACTCATCTTCCACCAAGGACAGTCCACACTTCTGTTTGAGTAATAGGTGCTCTTTGCATCATTTGCTTTTCTTGAGAACTTGTTTCAAGATGTGGAAATGAACAGAACTGTCTTGTTAGGAACTGTAATGTAATATAAGTTAGCATGAGAAACATGAAAGTTTCTAAAAGAAGTGTGTACAAGACAAAATATAATCTGGCAACAATTTTACATGAAAAGGTTGTTAGAAATAATTGAACATTTTCTTGCAGTTTTTATGAATAATGTTGGGAGGAGAAATCCTGAATTTGCTGACAGCTACTATGACCCAAAATGACAGTAGCTTTCATTTTCTTTTAATTTAAATAACTTAAATATTCTTACTTATCTCATTTGAGCCATTTGGATATAGGACATTCAGCAGCTTTTAAGACTGTGTTTCCAAATAGCAAGGAATACGTTGTGATGCAAAAGGAAGACACAATATGACTTGCCTGGGGTATAATGAGGTATTTCAAAATAATTTACTGTCTTATCTTCTCCAGAAAAACAGCAATTACCATACTGTTATTTCCAGTATGACTTGAAAGGAAGAGCTTGTCTCAAAGGTTTTTTTCTATTCTTGCCTAGAAGGAATGCATTCAAAGAACTGACCGACTTTTAAAAATGTGTTAGGCATGTTTTCCTCACTTTCATGCTGAAACACCATGAACTGATCCTAACCCTTCAAAAAATAGGTCATCAGCTGTTTTTTAAAATGTGTTTATGGTTTACTTCTGTTAAAATGCAAATGTCATGTAGAGGACATTGCTTTTAAAATGAAGGTGTCACCACAAAGGTTGCATTGAGGTCTTTTTAATCCATGTTATCAACATTTGAGATATGTTTGAGATAATAAATCCTTTATCTGCAGTGTATCACTTCTGCTGGGGTTATTTTGGTTTGTTTTTTAAGTCAAAATATCTGGGGAATTAAATCAATTCAAGGTTTACATTGCTTCATGATTCAGCATTTTTTTACTTTACGCTTCACCAGCTCCATTGGATTTGGACGAGTGCAAAGAAGGGACTGTTCAAAGTGGAAGTCTGGGACATTATGGAGCTGTAATACTGATTGACAGTTGCTCCCCCCATGTGGCTCTGGGCAACTCGCTTAAACCTGTCAAGTCACTTTGGGTAATTGTGAAAATGGAGGCTATAATACATACATATCTTGCAGCCAGTTAAGAAGATAAAATAATTACTTGAAAGTAGCTTGTAAATGTATTTTAATTTTTAGTTCATCATCCACTGCTGTTGTTACATTCAGCAGGGCATATATTATATTTGGCTGCAGGAGGCTTATAATATGCCAGGATTCTCCTGCTTTTTTTTTAAGGGGTTCAAACAGTCCAGAAGAGTTGATGATTTACCAGGGGAGGGAGGCTGGAGACAGTTTCCCAGTGCCCCCACCATTTTCCCTGTAGTTTCAGCTCACACCCAGGAAGTGTAGGAAAGCAAAATGTGTTCTGAACCCTGGGCATCTTCTGATGCTTGACTGTGCCCAGAGAAGGTCAGAGAAGCATTGCGTCTGTCTTCAGGGCTGCAATGTGGAGCCTGAATACTGGGTAGGGAAAACTCTTGGGTGTTGCCTGCAGGGCTCCTCTGTGTCTCTGTTCCTGTGTTGGGAAATTTTCTGCTCCTGTTTTGAAACTGCCAGTAAAAGCTACTGGCCAGAAAACTGGCAGCTAACTACAGTCCTGGAAACAACAGAATGCTTTGTGTCCCCAGGTGTTTGGTCCTATCCAAACACCTGGGGAAATCAGTGCACACCCTTGTGACCTGCTCCTCACTACTCCTTGCTTCTTCTGACAAGTGCTGGGCCGCTTTGTGAGCAGCATGTGGGGACTGATCCACCACAAGGTACTTTGGGAGATTAATGTACTGGATTCGGTCCATAGATTGATTTGAATCACCTGCTAGGAGGCTCTAAAGGTTGTGATAATTAAGTGGTGTTGCTTTTACAGTGTATTACACCATCTGGCTCCAGATTTAGTTGTCTGTGTTTAGTAGCTGATCTTGTTTGGAAATAAAAATACCTTCTGAAGCTCTAGCTTGATTTGCTTTCACAGTTAAAGAGGTCCTTCAGCTTGTCAGCTAGGCCCATAGCCTGCTTAGTTAGTGAAGACTAGGTTAGTTAGGAAATAGGAAGGATCATGCAGGGAAGTAGCATCTGGAGCTAAATGGAAAAGTAAAGGACACACCCACAGTAAATTTTTCCATTTTTATGCATAATTGCAAAATTTGCAGGTAAGCAAAACCAGTACATTCACAAGCCTGCATGGAAATGTACCTATTTCCAGGAAGCTGTTTTGGAAGAAGCTCCCTGTCACATTACAGTGACTTTGTATTTACTGTGTCTGTTTCCTTCAATAGACTTGAAGACTTTTGATGTCTATTGAAGGAAAAGGGTTTGAAAGGTATGTAGGGGTGGAGGGGCTCACAGCCATTTTCTGATCACTAATACAGGGCTTAGAAATCAACTGCATTTATTTACTGACAGAGAGTCATGTTTTCAGGGCGTGTTTTGGGCTCTTATTTTCTGAGTCCCAGGCTGCCCTAACCTGTTGGCCAACACACTAATGTGGAGGGCTGTAACAAAGTTTACACCATATTCAGTTCAGAGCTAAAAGAGGAATTTTAGGTTGTTGGAATGTGGTAACTTTGTTCTGGACCACATTAGTGCACCCTGCAGCTTGAGATCCCAAAGTAAATGTACAGGCAGCTACTTATGCCTCTCTGTTATGTTGGCTTTAGTTATTCATTGGAAGCTTACCTAAATGCTAGAACTGGGAAGACTTAGAGAGAGCCTGTGCTTTTCACATTTGCAGTAATGTGTCTCAGAGGATTTGAAGGCCTAAAATAATAATGCATTTTATTTTAATGAAGTGGTAAAACTCTGGTAATGAGGTGATAAAATTGCCCTATCAGATCCCGCATTTCTTTTGCAAATTAGAAAAGAATAATCCAAACTCATGAAAGAAACAGAAAATGTCTTGTCATGCTAGAATAAATTTCTGTAGACACTGGCTGTTTAAGCACTATGATGAGTGATCACAAAAGAAATAGTTGTATGATATATTTTCCTTCATACTTGCAGGACCATAAAGTAGAAGAATTCATCGTTTCTCCACTTTATTCAGTTTTGATAATCAGTTACGAGATGGTACTGCGAAGTTTGGACCAGATTCAGGCCACAAAATTTAACCTCCTAATCTGTGATGAAGGACATCGCCTGAAAAATAGCTCTATTAAGACAACTACAGCCCTGACTAGTCTGTCATGTGAGAGGAGAATTATCCTGACTGGTAGCGACTTTTAATATTTACCTATGCTAACAGTAACTAGGCTGGGGTAGAGGAACCAGTTTTTTTTAAGTATGGCAGGAGCATAGTATAAATTTTGACAATGAGTATTAAATGCACAAATCTGGGGTCTTGTATAAACAGATTATTTCCAATTTATTTTTAATAAATGCAAAATTTTTCTAACTTCAGGGACAGGCAAGGAGCCTGGGAACTTCTGTAAGGGATTCAGGACTCTTTTTAGATACACTCATTGCTTTCCTTTATAGTTATTTAGTAGAACTGATTTAGAAGTTGACTTTTCATATTCCTTTGTCAAAACTACTAGATATGCAGGCTGTTTGTTTAGGGGGGCAGCAGTTTTATTAATCATGAGAAAGTTCTGGATTAATTCAGTACTCTGAGTAATTTACATTGAAACAAAACATTCATTTTCGATATGCATTCTCAACATTAAACCCTGCATTCAGCAATTGTACTTCTCTAATTTTCAATTAAAGGTTACAAAATACAGAAATGGGTTTTTCTCTTTCCAGGTACTCCAATCCAAAATGACTTGCAAGAATTTTATGCATTAATAGAGTTTGCGAATCCAGGAATACTTGTTTCTTTATCCACATATAGAAAGATATATGCAGAACCAATTGTCAGGTCTAGAGAACCTTCAGCCACAAAGGTATATTATTTTTAAAAAATTGCAGTTATAGAAGAAAATTCATAGCACTGTGAAATTTGCTTTCTGTGGAATAAAATAAAGGTCAGGACTCATAGGAGCAAAAGCCTTTCACCTTCCTATTTGAAATAAAATCAGTTTTTCTCCAAAGGGAGCTGCAGGAATAAATGCGTGCTGAGATCATAGCATTTCAGCTGCCTTTTAATTATCAGGCAAAAATTGCTCCTCCGACTCCTTGCATTCCCAAAAATGCTGTGTGCATTATGATATGATGGTGCTTCTTTCAGTCTTAGTTTCAACACAGTACTACAAAATCTACATGATTTTATTATATCAGTCAAGAAATTCTGGAATATAACTTGAGCATTGGATATCGTCTGGGACCTTATCTTCCTCTGTTTAAGACTTTAGAAAACAGACCTAGAATTAAGCCCATGCAGTGGTACTAACTGGAGAAGAACTGATCATTACCATCCCATGTCAGAAAGCAGTATCCTTCCTTTAACATGTCAACTACCTAATTAAAATCATACAGAAAATTATTGTGATGAAAAGCAAGATTATAATTAATTTTGTGCTTTGTTTTTTTAGGAAGAAAAGGAATTAGGGGAAAAAAGAGCAGCAGAACTCACACGCCTCACTGGACTCTTTATTCTTAGGAGAACACAGGAGGTTATAAACAAATTTCTGCCCCCCAAAATGGAGAGCATAATCTTCTGCCGACCAACAGCACTGCAACTTGAATTGTATCGAAAACTGCTCAGTTCTCAAGTTATTAGGTCCTGTCTACAAGGCAGCCTAGAAAACAGTCCTCACCTAATATGTATAGGAGCTTTGAAAAAACTTTGCAATCATCCATGTCTTCTGTTTAAAGCTGTCAAGGTACCTGTTTGTGTAGGGGTGGGTGCCTGCAATTAGTCATTTCAGCAGACAAAAGTCACTAAAACTGTGTTATGGTCAATGTGCATGTTACTTTAAGGTCATTTTCATACTCTCTCACACAACTTCCTTCAGGAGATCTGCTTTCAAAAACATGACTGTTAGGAAATCTGCATGTACTCAGGGAAGGTATCTCACCAGTTTACTATTGCCTTATGGCATTTTCTTGTTCTTCATGTATTTTCCCTCTTAACCTTGTCTGAATATTTGTAAAAATATATATATATATATATAAAAATGTGAATTTTACAAATAACACTCTTAGAGATTAGTCTGTGTGCTTTGTCTGCTGGCTCCTCTAACTTCTCCTTGTCTGTGATAATTTCATTCTCTCAAGCTCAGTGACACTGGGAGCTGCAGGCTCAAGATGTCAGTGGTACTAGGTGTCTCCATTTCCACTTCTCCTGGGATCCTATCATACTGTACACCTTATTTTTTTTCTATAGAAATGTTCTCATTCCTATAAGTAAATAATGTGATAGTTAGAACATAGTAAGTCTAACTTCTGTGGCCGCTAGTCAAAGTCAAGTCAGGTGAGTGGAAATGTCTTTCTCAAAAGTTATGTGCTCCATGACTTTGTAGGAATGTCCACAGTGCAGGCCTCCCCATAACTTTCAGCAGTGCCAAGTAAAGTTACCTTTACTTTATAGTATAACCATTAAAATTTAGACATTTAGAAATTATAGAGATGGGAAGGATTATATATGCAAGTCATTTATGGCTGTTTTGGGTTTGGTGTTTGAGTGGTTGGGCTTTTTCCTCCCTTTGAAACACTGATTTTCACATTGCACCAAAATATTACCTGTATTTCTTATGTTTTATTGTTTTTACTGGCTAGCTTTTCTTCATTTCCTATTACATAACTAAATCTTAATGACAGCATCTTCTTAAAAAAAAGTCAGTGACTAGGAATTTCTATAACAAGGTATTTATTATTATGATATGATTTAGAAAGAATAAAAGGAGTATTGATTTTTTTTTAACCCCAAGTTTTAGTGTGAGCTTGCTGTGGGAGTACATCTGTGTGATTATTTAAGTAGAGAAGTAGAACAAATTTCTCAGTTTTAAGTAATTGAGCTTTCTACTCAGCTGCAAACAACATCTTGGCTTAGAGGGTGTAAGCCAAAATAAACACTGTCAGCGTTCTAAAACTGTGCTTTCTATCAAATATTGGGAGGTTGTCATGCTCACATGATACACTACTTTGGGGCAGCTTTTGATGCCTCCTTTTATCTTTGCAATAAAAATGTAGCAAAGTTTTAAAAACCCCCAAACATGTTAGGAGGGTTATGGAACTTTATGAATCTTTTTGTTTTCAATAGGAAAAAAGCTGTGATACTATGACTGATGAATGTGATGAGTCCTGCCTCTACGAAGGTCTAATAGATGTCTTTCCCCAAGATTATACTTTGGGTACTTTCTCTGAAACTGATTCAGGAAAACTGCAGGTGCTAGTGAAGTTGTTAGCAGCAATCCATGAGCTCAACTCTTCTGAAAGGCAAGTATGAAATAAAGGTAAAAGGGAGATAATGGGAGAGAACTTCTAGATATTGTTTTGCTTTTCAAATAAATGGGAACATAATTTTCAAAGGCATTGTGACTGTTAGCAGAGATGCCAAGCATATTTATTGCATTGTACTCCTGGCTCTACTTTGTTAAATTACTAAACTAGGATATGCAGCTGACATAATTTTCAGAGATGCTCTTCATATTTTTTCCAAGTAAAGATACTTGTATTTTTCATGCTAAGTTCCAGCAATTAAGATAGTTTGCTACAGCTGCTGTACTATGAGATTATCTTTACTTGCAGAGACTTTCCAATGCTTTGCATGTCCTTAAGGAGATGTATTATTTTACAAAATATTTTAAATTGCAGTAAAATATTTTTAGTTGCTAGATTATAAGTTATTTCCTCTTTAATCACATTTAACTGCTCAGTGCTTTTCTCTTCAGGGTAACCAACAGACAAACTTGCACAGCAGCTGCCTATTTCCCCTGCAGTAAATGCCACTGGCATGTAGGAAAACCTCTGTTGATCATGGGGTAGTAGGGTACACATAGTTACTGTGCAATTGCTGATTCACAGAAATCTCACATGACTCTGTGTCCCATGATAACTTCTTTATGGACTCATGCCTTAAAGCCTAGCTATTCCAAAAGTATTTAGCTTTTAACTTTTATTTAAATTGATGCTTAAATAGGACATGCTGTAATTCAGCAGTGGGAAGTCACACCAAATCTCTTGGCACTGATGTAATGGAATTTGAAGATGCTCTCTTTTTACAAATCAGAAAGCTGAGCCTTTTGTTGGGGTTTATATGTCTAACATCCATTGGAATAAATGGCAGCTAAATATCTGAATATACTGGCTTTATTTCTTGTAGGTCAAAAGAAACAAGGGTATCAGGAAAAAACAGCTCTCCTTGTATCAATGCTATAGGAGCTGCTGAGTGGCAGCTGGTGTTGAGGCATTATTTTACACCTTTAAAAGTTTTGATGCTTTAATTCAGATTTGTTCATGCTGCTTCTTCTTTTGTTTCTCTGCTCTCATTAGCACTAAGTAGTTTTTTGCAATGCACAGACTCAGTTCCGGTCCTCTTCTGAAGTTTATATTCTATTTTTGAAATATTCTATTTTTGAAAACAAGGCTGTGAAATTGGTGTTGATTGACAAAAAAAAATCAATCTTGCAAAGTCTTTACAAATAAGTCTTGGAAGTAGTTCAATTTTAGAGTGTAATAATAAATCCTTGAAAACAATTTTTAAAATATAATTTATCATGTTTTCCCTGAAATTATTTGTCTAGTTCTTGAGCGCTCATCTTTACTCAAGATTATTTTTTAAAATGGGGCACCTTTGATGGAATTTGTTATATTTAGTTTAGATTATAAAAGTCCTCCAAACAAGATCTGGCAGAAAATGCTCTACCTGTCCTTATTATTTAAAAAAAAATAAATCCAAAAGTCCTTTGTTTGTCCACTCAGTAGAATCATCCTCAATATCTAGGAGGACAGAAGATGTAGATTTGCAGATCTCTGAAGGTTACTTAGTCAAAATTTCAGAGAAAAACCACCAATATCAGTCACGGTCTGTAGTCTTAAGAGATTAGACTGATTTTTCTTTAAAAAAGTAACAGCCAAAATCCAGACTATATAGTTTGTAATATCTTAAATTCCCTATCCTTAATCCTAGTACTTTTCGGTCATAAAATGTAGGAAAGTCACTGTTTCCCTATTTTAGTTTCATGATTCTGTTAATTAGAATTTTCCAAGGTTGTCTGTAGTTCACAGTGGCTTATTAAGTAAGCAGAGTCATACATATTTTTTTTTATTAGTTGCTACAACACCCTCTGCAAATGCTTCCTTAACAACGGCTGTTTCGTATAGAACTTTTTTAAAAAAAATCTTTTTGTTTGGTTCTGGATCCTTGCAATCTGTGCATTAAGCTGAATTCTGTTGCAAAGGAGAACATTCTTTATTTAACATTTGAGTGCTTGGCAGTAGGCTTAATGCATCCAGATCTAGTATGTGCTTCAAGTGAATAGGGAAAAATTTATTTCTTAGGGAGCATGAGTAACCTCAGGTTGATGTGTAATTTTTGCTTGACTTGTAATTTTATTTTCTTAGATGTCTTCAGTAATTTATTTTTGGACTTTAACTTTACCAGGGACTCAGATGACAAGATAACTTTGTTTTACTGTTTGACAGAGTGGTTCTGGTATCCAATTACACTCAGACCTTGAACATACTACAAGAGACATGCAAACGTTATGGATACTCTTATACTAGACTTGATGGACAGACTCCTGTCTCCCAGAGACAGCAGATTGTTGATACTTTTAATAGTAAATTCAGTCCAGCTTTTATTTTTTTGCTGAGTTCAAAGGCTGGTGGAGTAGGACTGAATCTGGTCGGAGCATCTCATTTGATCCTGTATGATATTGACTGGAATCCAGCTACAGATATTCAGGTCTGTTAACTGTGTACTTGTGGGTTGAGATGGGCATTAAGTGATTTTCTGTTTGATGTTGAAATGCTTGGCCTTACCTGTCTTGTTGCTACCCAGATATCACATTTCATCTGGACAAATACAATACTGAAGGAAAACTCTTTCTGAGAAGAAAAGAAGAAATATTGCTTTGTCATATTACATACACTGAGATCATTAGAATCCCTCTTGCAGTAAAAAGTGAAAAGATTAAATTCTGGTTTCTTTGGAGGAGTGAGTCATGTATCTCCTTTGTGTCTGACCTCTTTTTAACCGGAAAGTTGCTGTGTTTCAAAAAAGAAAAGAAAACCATCGTTACAATGCATAGCAAATGTTGCTGTTGATTTGCAATCCCTAAGAAAAAGGGAGAGGTCCTGATCAGAAGGTGGAGAATGAGAAAATCACTTGGCAGTAATGCCAAAAGAAAGAAAACAAAGCCACTGCTCTGCTATTCTTGTAATAGCACTATTGGGCTCAAGGGATTATTTAGTTGGCATAAGAGTGTCCAGTTAAAATAGTCCTTAACAATAACAATTTTAAAAAATCTTTTTATAAACAAAGTAAGGTATTTTTTTATTCTAGAGAAATGTTTGTGCTTAAAGCCTGCAGAAAGCTCTGATTCTTGGCCCTGCTGCTGTTCCAGGTGTGAATTAGTACCCTCATGTGGTCATTTGTCTTGTTGCTTAAAACTTGGTTGATGAATCAGTCAAAATTGCTACGGGTTGCCAAAGACTGCAAACCTGTTGTGGTACTTGTACATCTGAATGTAACCCTTACATTTTTGGAAAAAAAAAAAAACACATAGCAGTACCCAGTTATATTTTGTTTGTTTAAGAATTAAAGGGGCTGTATAGCACTTATTTTACAGTTTTACAAGAAATGGAAAAGTAATTTTAAAAGATATATTGTGGCAAAAAACAATTTTGGAGATGGGGAAGGATGATGAGTGTTCTTCAAATACTAAATAGTTGCTAGTGCTTGGAAAACAAATATGAAGAGGAGATATCTGGCAGGAAGGAGCTGAAACCTCTCTTTGCCTCCTATCGTACACAGAAAGAAGGAGCTGCATAAGTGGCAGAAAGTAAATTATATTTTAATAATTATTTACAGTTAATACCAGACTTCTATATAAAGAGCCAAAGACAGTTATTGAGGAATGTTTTCTTTAGACAACATCTTTTTGAAAGAACTAGCAGAACTGGTAATTTGATCAGCAGAGGTTACAAGTTTCAGTTGAAATAACGTTGTATTGCAGGCTGTTAACGCTCTTCATCTTTTTGGTTTCTTTAGGCTATGGCCAGGGTGTGGAGGGATGGTCAGAAACATACTGTGCATATCTACAGGCTGCTAACCACAGGTCAGAGATGATGCTCAAACATTCCCTAGAGTGAGACAACTATTGAAATTTTGTCTGTAAAAGGCAGGGAAATGTTTGGAAATCATTTGTTCTTCAAAAATATTTATTATTTGTTCTGAAATCAGTTAAAATAGACATCATATTGATTCATTTGCCTTTGCTTTGCTTTGGTTTTGCTTGAATAACTGAAAATAGTGGTTTAGCATTGCCTGTGAATGTTATTACCTAGAAATGGATTTGACTTTTCTTCTTGACAAGTACTAATTAAAAAATATGCCAGAGATCTTTTTTTCTTTTCTTTTTAATATAGGCTCAATAGAAGAAAAGATTTATCAAAGACAGATCAGCAAACAAGACCTTTCTGGGGCAGTTGTAGACCTTTCCAAGACATCTGAACACATCCATTTTTCCACTGAGGAGCTTAGAAATCTCTTCACTCTTCATGAAGATTCCAGCTGTGTTACCCATGACTTGCTTGAGTGTGACTGTATGAGAAAGGGCGAGTTTCAAAGTGAGTTGCTTTTTCGTTATCTCTGGCCATTGCTGAGGAAATACATCCATTCTGAATATATAGTCTGTTACTGGAGAAAACTCTGCTGCTCAACAAGATTGAAGTAATGAGGTTCATTAGGGGATCTTCCAGATCTTGGCTGATTTTTGTAATCCATAGGAGCCCTTCACAAGATGAAAAGGAGAAAAGATTCATTCCTTGCAGTAGCAACTAATTAATGTATCATGCTCTTAATTCCTTGAATTAGTTATGGGCAGCTCAGCTAGTGGTTTGTTGCAACCAAATGACACTGTATGGTGTTTTGTTTCTAAACATTCAAGGACACTACTAGTCCAAAAGCTAGTTCAAGAGCTGTTTATCTGAGTCCAGCTATACCAGGTGAAGATCACCAGATCTCTGAGTATAAGCCTTCATTTTACAGTTATTAACTAAAGTTGATGCAGGATGATTAAAATAGTTGTTTGAGAAATGCTGGAATATCCCCTGGAAGTTGTAAAGCCAAGTTGCAAACATTAGCATCTGTCCTTTCTGTAGGAAACTGTTTTTTGTTCTTTTGGCATATGAGGATGGTTTTAATACCTTGCTGCATACAGCTATATAGATTTAAATTAGTAGCAGGATTACAAACAAATTATCATAACTTATGTTTACATCTGCCCGGGTTCCGTGTAAAAAGGGGTTCA